CAAAACAGGATGACCACTTTTCCTATACAATTTTGCATGGATTGTGTAGTTGTTGAAACCCCCCCCCTCCCCCCCCCCAGAGGAATTTGGAAATTTCCTAGAGGTAGGGGGTCAGAGGAAGAACAAAATTACACAGTTTGTATGGAAGAAAATTGGAATTTCTAGGGGTAGGGGGTGAGGGTTGGGTCCGAGGAAAAAATCCCCCATGGGGGGTATAGATAATTTCAGGAAACTACACATTACTTCTAAATCAGTAAAACAGAAAAATAATAATCACTTCAGTCTGTAAAGAGCATGTTTAAATCAGTAATACTGCAAAGTATAAAGGAAATGAGTTCAAAACTTGCAAAAATATGATTTAAAAAAATAGTGTGAATTTTACAATTTCACAGACAACATGCTCTTTCCAGCTATGGTAATAATTCTCTATCCTGTAAGTTTTGGAATTTCATGATGTATAGTTCCAGAAATAATCCATACCCCCTCCCCCCATGAATGGAATTTGTAAGAGGACCAGTCCCTACCCCCAGGAAAAGTTTTTCATTTTTTCAAATTTTCTTCCATACAAACTCAGTCATTTTTTTCTTTCTCTGACCCCCTCCCCTCCGTGGGTGGTGTATGGATATTTTCTGGAACTACACATTTACAAGAGAGAAATTTTCAACCTAACTTGATATTTCCAAGTCACACGAGTATGAATTATTTCTAATTATTTCAGGGGCGGATCCAGGATTTTGTTCAGGGAGGGGTGCTGTGCACAAAGTTAACCCAGGGAGGGGTGCACCCCTTAGAATCAAAGGGAAAAAAAGTATTGGTTATCTTCAAAATAGGGGCACAAAGTCGAACCAGGGAGGGACGGGCACCCCCTGCACCCCTCCCCTTGATCCACCCCTGTATTTATTAATTATATTATCATCACACTATCCAAATAAATAATTGTGATGGATGTAAGAAATATTCGAACCGAACTGTCCATGAAATGGCATGGGATTTGGAGGTGATTAGTTGATTAATTAAGAAATAATAATAATTAGTTAATGGATAACTGTATTTGGCGTTAATTAACGAGCGTCTTTAACATTTCATTTGTATGTAACATAATTTATATTAGATTGAATAAACATTCCTGCATGTATTTATTATGATAATACCTTGAGGCAATGTTATTACTTTAACTTGAGGTGTTTTGTTTTTATTGAATCAACATGTAAATTTTTCTCCGGTACACGAAGAAGGAGCACAATAATTGTTAACCAAGGCTAGACTGTAAAATTTAACGATAAGATAAAATGTCAAACATCACACACACACTAGAGCAGTTTTCGTATGACCATGAAAAGTTCACGGCACCAACACGGTCATGACACGGCAAGGAATACGCCAGACCAATCACATTGCACGAGTATTTAAATTACTCTCCATCCAATCAAGTACCCAAAACATAGCATGAACATGGCGTGGACACGGTCATGCCAAGATCACATCAATGCCAGACCAATCACATTGCTTGTGAAGGAAATCAGCCAATTAAATTCTAGAAAGCATCAGGGTCACGACACGCCACGCTAACGGCACTGAGCTTTTCACAGTCATACGAAAACAGCTCTACTGTCACACCTAGTAGTACTTTATACTAATCCATATGGCAGGCGGCATACCTCTCTACATGCAACACATTGTTTAAACTAGTCATCAACCACTAACTGCTACTGTATTTGAATCCCCTTGTTGCTTGTTTTCTTGATCAACATCATTAGCTGCAGGTTTAGTACCCTTATCTGGACCATTACCATTTAAATTTTCTGTACTTGGTTGCTTTATTTCTTTTAAAATTTTACTAAAAAGAAGAAGAAATGTTACTGATTTAAAAAAATATTATTAAATATTAAATTTTATTAAATATTGGTTGTGACGACTTAACCTGTAAACCACCTACAGTCAACTCTCACCTTGGGGACACCCCGACATTACGGACACCTTGCTATTACAGACAGGAGAAAAATCCCCCACAAAAATACTGACAAAGAAATGAGCGTAAATAATTTCTGCTATTACGGACGCTCACTATTATGGACATGAAGTGACCGTCCCAAAGGTGTCCACTGTAACGAGAGTTGACTGTATAATTAAGAGTATGCAGAAAGAGTCTACTTCTAACTAAGCTTCTTCCAAGTGAAGATTACTACTTACTTTTCTCTATTA